AGTGTACATTGTTAAATTGATATGTCTCCAATAAGCAGGAAGAAAAAAGCTTGAAAATCATTAAATATGAAAAGGGCCCAAATAGCTGCTTTTCACTGTAAAGTCAATTTTTTCTCAAAGAATTCAATTTCGTTAATATTGCGCATTGTTAACGTCTGCGAAAGTACACGTTCGGTAAATATTATCAAATTAGTTTTACAAAACTTAAAGTAGAAATTCGCAAATATTTATCTTTGCAGATTATTCATAAACTTTGATTTCGCGAAATTTGGCCTCGCAAAAGTATCTGATTTCGCAGTATTCAAGTACATTTTGTAGCTAATTTGTAGAAATCTAGGAACACCCTGAACGAAGCGTATTGTGATATTACAAGTCATTTTGTAGAAAGGCATTGTAAGATAACAAAAGTGACAATTCATCACTTTTCAAACCACACGCGATGTTGAATACATCAATGAAAAGATGTAAACATATATGTGCTTTACCATAACAAAATGATTGAAAGTTTCTAGGTCACGTTTCTGGTTTTTATTACATAAATTCCTTCAAAAACATATGTGCAAGATCAAACAAAGTTCCGCAAAATGCGACTTTTTGATCCTTAAGACTCGAATCTGGAAAAAGTAGATACTGTATATACCACACAATGACTTACTTGCAATGTAAAATATATATACATTAAAGTCCGCTTATAACGATATTCAGGGGACCGTCAAATTAATATCGTTATATCCGGATATCGGAGGGGTAACCAATTTGAAAACAAGAGTCTCAGGACAGCGACAAAAGCATCGTTATAAGCGGTATATCGTTATAAGCCATATCGTTATAAGTGGAGATTACTGTATGCAGATAGATTACTTGTTTACATAAAATCAATAGTATATTTCTATAATGGTTCATTGATTGAGCCAAAATTAATTTATGACTTTTTTTGGTATTTTTAAATCTAAACATTGATTGTAATTACCTTGAGTTTTGATATGAAAACAAAATGAATAAAATATAACAGATTATGTGAAAGACATTAAATTTCTAATGTCTGATATCGTCGATCAGAAGCATATTGTCTGTATCCAATCAAGAAATTCTGAGGCAATGTGCCCAATGTCTGTTTGATTTACAACCATCATACTGAAAATCATTGAATAGTTTGTACAGCTTTGCAGAATCATGAGATTCTCTGATAGCATTGGGAACAAAAAACGTTGCAGACTCGATTTGATTGAAGCAGTTCTTGTGTATTAATTGTAACGAAATACAAACAACACCCAGAAGCACTAGTCTAACTTCATCGAAAAGTATCAAATCTTCAAAAGCAAGAGCGAGAAGTAATTAGGAGGACAAAAGTACTAAATATTGAAAGAGAATGGCTGATATTTTTGAGGCTGACTTTGCCTGTTTTTTTAGTTAATTTGTAGTAATTTAACAATCTGTTGTATCAACCAGAGTCCAGTAGAGAAATTGAATGAAAGATAATAGGTCCTTTTGTCTATGCTGTACAAAGGTTGAGTATTGAAATATGAAGTATGAAATAAAAAATGACTATTCCATACAGGTGGTAGATAATAATCATTCAAAATATAATGCACGATAGGAGGAATACCTATGTCTTTATCATTGGCAATAAATGTCAATCAGTAGGACTTAGTCTGGATTAAAATTGTAAACTCTCAGGCAACTTGCCCAAATTCTGCTGATATCTGTCATTAAAACAGTGCATCACTGTCTATATCTAAACACGTTCCGGTTACAACTGCAATCGACCTAAACAACACTGCCAATCAATGTTAAATATCATGCTAAATAAACAGTTAAATAATTTGACTCTTAATTTTTGCCCTGCATTGCAATTTGAAGGGTTCATCCGAATTGTATGAAATTTCAATAACAAAATACAAAAATAGAGCTACCAATAGTATAGAGCCTTGACAGACACCATGGGTGTGTTGGCTGGCTTGGTTTAATGCTGTTGTCAAAGGTTTAGTACTTTCGGTGCTAGCAGAGTTCGGGTTAATCTTGTATAGATAACTTAAAAATGTTAACAAAATTCAATTTGGTATATAGTTTTTATGTCGTTAAATATTGTTTGGTGCATTTTGTCATTTCATTCTAGTGGCTCTCTAAGAAAGATTCGTCTATCTCTCGTTACAGAAGCTACGACAATTTTGAAATCTGGAAACAAAGTGATCCCTCGGAAGCATTAATCACAACAAAATTACAAAACATGAAATGCTACAACAACATGTTAAGATGGGTGTTTCTTGGTATGCCAATGTAAAAGCTACATACAATAACCTTTTAATATCAAGATGTTTAATGAGCGTACATACAGACAATAGCATATACATGTATTTAGAGCCATACGTGACTCTGGCAGTAACTAATCAAAATTCCCTAATTACCGATTACTCCAAATTCAACATCCTCTCCTAAGAAACAATCATGGTTAAACAGGACAGGTTTTTGTTTTCATTTTCAGCGTTAGATCTGTTTCTAATTGGCTTTAAATTAACCGACGCTGGTTCCTTTGATACTAAGAAGAAAAAAAAAACGAAATCTGGTTAACTATTAAGGCGGGAAGTCTTTAATGCTATGAACAAAATACCAACATAGAATGGAAAACATTTACTGTGTTATTACTTATAGTTTCATCAGCAAAGTAGAAAAAAGTTAATTTTTTAAATTAATTTTGTACATAAAGTTATGAAAAAATCAGTGTATATAAAGATATAAAAATAGAAGTATGACCTGTTTTTTGTTTGTTGTAATTTAGTTTTGCTTTATATATATATAAAATAATAACAAATACTTATGTACGATAAAATTATTCATGGCGTTCCTGAATTACTTATCAGCAAATTCCTATGCCAATTTTGTAACGTAATTGTGTTTTTTTTTTTAAATATAAAATTACACAAGTACTACGTTTTTTGTTTGTTTTAAAAGAATTATTTGGTTTAGTTCCACTATTTAACAAAATCTTTTTATTTTGTTGTTTCGGCTTTAAACATGAATTTTTTAAATACTTAATAGTTACATTTAAGGTACACTTCATCAAAGTTCCTATCAACATTCATTGCTCCTTCTGGAAATTATAACGATATTAATGATATATATTTTAACACCGCCAATAATCGCTTTTTGACCTTAGTTTAACAACCCCAAACACTACATTGTAATCACAAGATACACAAAATACAAGCAATTCTTATCTGTAAACGTCGGTATGGATACATCAATAAACCTCGTGCACTATCAATGGAATGGAAAATGAAAACAATCGTAACACAAGTTCCAAAACTTGAGATAAAGCATTTCTCCCATAAAGAAAACGCAATTAAATTTTTTTTTTCTTACAGTCCAATGTGTAATGCAAATAAAGTAATATGAAAAGCCATTGATATAAAAATCTGGATAAAGTGTGATCCCTCGAAAGCATTAATCACAACGAAATTACATGAAAATTGCAGACTCGGTATGATTGAGTCTGTAAATAAGAGATAATGAAAAAGTACAGCATCCCTGACGCACCATAGCACCGACTTGAGTGGTACTCAATTTTCAACACTTAAAATTGCTGGAATCAATGATCCCGAAGGACCAGAAAAATATAACAACACAACACAACAAAAATATAACAACAATAAAGTTGCATATGCAGCATGGCCAATGTCTATGAAATTGACTGATTAACTTCAATTTTCCATCTTGATATCTCCTTGATAACGAACAGTTCCAAACAAGTAAGGAACACAAGTCCTCGTAAAATTACCGACTAAATAATAAGAGTTATCACGATTTTAAATAATTCCGAAATAATCTCGAAGTTTTAAACTTAAGAGTCAGTACATTCAAGTTATCAGATATGTAAAAATTTAAAATTATTGCATTCTGGGTGTCATCTGATTATGATATCTTTTAAAGTTAAAGTCATTGCAAATGGTTCAGATTCAATGTCATTTGCAGACCTTAAGATATCTAATAAACGGTGTTGCTGCATTCTTCTTATAATATGATAGAAATAATGATTATCCTACACAATACATGCACGATAAGAAAACAACAATAATATGTTTGACGCTGTCGTTGGGAAAATATATATTTTAATATAATATGTGCATGGCATCTAAAATCAAAATCTTTTGTTACATTTGATGTTTTCAATACATCTACAATAAGTGCAAATTGGTATGAATGATTATACTTTCATTAATACTTCTGCACAAAAGACTATCAGTTTAATTAAATAAGTTAGATTCTTAAAATGCATCCGCATGAAGTATAGTCATTTGAATGGCTGTTTCAAGTGCATCTTCAATTAGTAAAGTGGAATTATTTATCGATGGAAAGTCCAACTTGATAACGGTTACACTTTTGATTGCAACTTATATAGTAGATGTGTTCACAAAACAATACAAAACTATCAAAGTTATTTTTCATTTAAAAAAGAAAAACTTCATTAAATTTTGCAAATGAATAAAAAAAGTTACAAGTTATATGACAGAAATAATCATTATCTCATAAATGTTTCATCTCATATGTTCATACAAATATTTCTCTTTCACGATAAACTCGTGCATTGAAACTGGAAGAAAGACAGAACTTTTAAAATGTTTTTTTTTATATTTTTGAGCGAATATTAATAACATAGAAGCATTGAGTTTATTAACTGATAAAACAAAAAACGGTCATTCACATTTGGACTAATATGATAGATATATTTGAGTAGTATGTAATAACATGGAAAAGCATATCTTATACACGATTAAACAATAAAAACAATATAACATGTATAAGAAATGAACCATATCAAAAACATCATACCTATAATAACACAAGAAAAAGAACTTATCTCTTATTTCCATTGCTGTCCGTAATGAAAAAAGGACTTACAAAAATGCGATGACTGAAGACGATGAAGATATTATATTATCGCATTGATAAATACGGTATTTTAATAAAGCACAGGGAAAATAAAAAAAGAAATGTTAACTTACTGTGGAATAGGCTGCATAATATAGTGACCATAATGTCCTTTACTGTCCACAAAACTCATAGCTAATATCACATATAAAAATATCACAAATCCCTTCATCACCGAATGTTTATTCAATTTATCTATATCCATAATATAGTACTTTCAAATAAGTTAGTACAATGAAATGTGAATAATCGAACGATTTGCTTTTTTACGAAGCTGACGATTTTTACTTTAATTGTAATATGTTCATATTTTATTCAGCTTGCCAAGACATTACCTAGTCAACGCCACTTGGCCCACAAACACTGTTGAAAAGTAAAAGAAAGATACCGCGGTACTTCAGATATTTCCAACAAGTTATTAAAATTGTCGGTATTAAAATAGGTAAAAAATATCATTCCACGTGTAGTGCTAAATTTAAAGTGCAGATAAACATATCGGTTAAATCATTCTAAAATCAATCAATATTTAAGACTATCATTTTACTAAATGATTTATATTTAAACTAGGTTATAATAAATGATCCAATAGTAAGTAAAATATGAAAAAAATAAACCTATAGAAACCAATCTGGGAACAATTGATACATAACCATCTATGTCAGAAATTTTCTCAACTTTGAAATTCATAATAGATAATATAAAATAAAGAAGGTTAACTTATCCTGCTTTCCTGATTTAATTCTTTTTCATATATGTTTACATTTAGTTAACCTATATGAAAAAAAATTAAATGCAAAAATTATGAAAAAATAAAAAAAAGTAAATTAATTAATAAAAATCAAATATACAAAAAACTTGTAACAATACGCGCCGACAAAAAAGTTAAAAAAAGAGAAACGAATGAATGACGAAAGAGTTTAAACTGCATAGATAAATAAATGTTTAAATTTACGAAACTAATACAATTTAACATTGAAACTGTGCTGTTGTATTCAATATTTTAAAGTGTTTTGTTTTTGCATCTTTAAAAAAAACCCCTCAAAACAACAAAATCATAAATTTCTCAAGATAAAAGCAAACGCTCAATGTTTTCCATCAGACTATGTTAAAAATAGAAGCTAGAGTTAAATACTGCATCCACTATATCACATCTCCTGCCAGAAACTGAAATGACTTCAACCAACAAACTATCACAGGTAGCTATTTTTTATCTTAAAATATCTGACTCATCCCTGTAGTCTTTCAAAGGTCTATCATACAAAGATTAACAGTAGTTTAAATTGACGATTTTTTTTTAAACAAAAGACTTTTGTACACACCTGTAACAAGTGTAATATTATTACATGTAATAACTATCGTATAACAACTGTTTTGTAATAGATAATATGTAGTTGATTGAATGTAAGAATTTTAATGAATATTAGAGTTTAATTAGTTAAATTAAATGACATGGTGTAAAGAATGATAAAAATGTATGACAAACATTCATGAAAAAGTTTGTACGACCTTGCCCCCCCCCCTCGAAAAAAAAAAGAAAAAAGAAAAAAAGAAAGGTTAATAACAAGCAATATTCCGGGTCGTAAAAATCATTTTTACGTAATCAATTCGGGAATTTGACTTTAGTTGTATTGTGCATGTATTGTATAAGATTAATATGCTTGTTTCAAACTTCTTTTAATTTTGTATCATCGGGTATCTAAAAATTTCATTCCATATAGTAGTACGTATTATTTATGTTCAATTGTCATATTTACACAGATAATGGACTTCAAAAGATTGCCGCCTTGCATTAACGCCGAGTAACACATATTTGCTTCTTGTATTGCAAAACATTAATTATCCTTTTTTTAAAAAAAACTGTTTATCTCAGTTCTCAAATGCGGTATATATCATCTTATACATGATTATTTTATCATTATAATATCAATTTTGTTCATTTAAAGGTCCTCACTTGATTAAATATTGATATACAATTTCATTCAGTTCACAATTATCACACTAAGTGCACGCGACTTTATTCCCTACCTTGATACATTATCAGAAAGAAAGTATGGAAAAGGCACAATAAACGCTCCAATTTAAAATTGAAACATTCAATTTTATTTGATAAAATGCTTGAAATAGAATGCAGATAACTTTAGATAAGTCACGGAATACACTTTTATACCACTTTCATTTACATGCGATGAGTTTAAACTGTCTCTTTGGCGTAAACCTTTGTTTTAATGATAATATAAAAGAGTTATCTATTCATTTTTATCCGCCCATAACAAAATGATAACTTTGCTTTTGGCAAGGCAGTTTGTGTGTGGTATAGCTTTTTGATTTTCAGAAAAACATATTTATAACAGCAATATTAAATTTATAAATCAAACTATTTCCTATTATCTTACAAATTTTACGCAAAATGAATGGAATGAATGGAATTGTAATAATTAATGGAATAGACCATAATAAGGTAATGTACATGTTCATGTAATTTATAAAAGGGGAAAAGTTGGAGTTAAAATTATTTATATATATTTTATAACAGCAACACGTCCAGGCCAAAAATTAGAAAGAAAGCAATTTAAATTCCTTTTTATATATCATACTTGATTTTCATTTTCTATTTTATTCTGTTTCACGTTTTGCTGAAAATGCATGTATGAATGGATGAAACCTTATATATGAAACCTTAGTAATGAGAAATGAATTAAAGACGGTATTAATTTCGAGTATTTTAATACAGTTGATGTAACTCATTAAAAACCAGACGCAGACGAGAGTCAGATACGAGCAAATACCAAAGGCGGCGTCCGTTTTATTTTCCTTTTGATCTATTTCATATTAAGACTTTCTACTTCATTTGACACCCCCAATAACACCGCCTAAACTATTAAGTTTCATGAACATTAGTGTTAACGAGGTTAAGATGAATCAACTGGCATGGCAAAATTTTGCTTCTGTTGTGCTGACCGAGAAAAATACATTGATGTAGAAAGGTAAGTAAAACAAAAGTTAAGAAATAACAACAAAAACCATAAAAATGATATTGGTAATTAACATAATGATGCCAATAATGACGTGAACGATGATGATGACGAAAATGACAATGATGGTGATTATGAAGATGATGCTGTCGACAATGGTGGTGATGATGATGATGTCAAGCGACAATAATGATGATGGCGATTATGAAGTTGATTGTGATGATGATGATAATGAGGATGATGATGTAAGACGTTGTTTATAATGTTGAAAAGGGAGATGACGATGATGATGATATCAGTAATATTGATGATGCTGATGATGACGACGACGACGACGACGAAGACAACAACAATATGATGGTGATGACAATTAAATTGATGATAATGATAATGATGATGATAATAATGATGATGATGGTGACGATGATAACGATGATGATGACAAAGAAAACAATGATTATGACGATGATGACGACAATTTCATTGATGATGACAATAATGATGATTGTGATGATTTTTATGATGATGACGATGATGATATTGTTGCAATTTAACAGCAATCGAAACATAGATGTACACAAATATGACTGTATGAAATTGCAATAACTGATGAAGTAAAATCAGTTTCACAATTATTATAAAGTGTTTATTTTACTGATTCTGGTAAGAAACGAAACGATAAGAAAAACGTATCTGAAAACGTTTTAAGCACAAAATTCGGTTTCTCGATAATTTTTCTTATTCCGTTAAAATAACATAGACATTAGTGAACAAGAATAGCGACCACAAATGCCATTAAATGCAACAGAAAAACACGTTTCAGAATTCTTAATTTATGGCAACATTATTTTTGGCAAGTTAAAACTAACAACACATTCGATGTATTAGATGAAAAAAAAAATTGAATGATATAATGATAAAAAGTACAAATTGATGACAAATTCTTACAAATTTGTCTTTGAAAAAAAAAAAAGAAAAAAAAAAAAAGATCCGATAATAAATATAAGTGATCCAATGAAATGTGGTAGCTATAATATGTAAGTTGTCGCAACAATACACCTGTTCAGTAACCTTCAATTACCTTGCGTAAACAAATACGTTTTTCATTCATTTCGCTGTTTAAACTAGAAAACAGTTTACTCGTAAGCAGTTTGTTGAGATGATTTTGGAAATTGCAAAGTAATCAAGTTTTATCTTTAAGTTATTTTTTGGAACTGAGCCAAATTCTATGCCTTAAATAAATTCTGCTGTATTGTAAGTGCATTAACAGCCAGCCCGCATAGCTCAATCGGTTAGAGCGCAAGTCTTGTAATCTCGACATTGTGGGTTCGATTCCCTGGCTGGCCAACTAAAATTACTAATCAGTCTTTCGGATGAGACTTTAAATCGAGGTCCCGTGTATGGGTGCTTAAACACTTGGCACGCTAAAGAACCAGGAGAAGCTTCTGGAATTGGGGCATCTTTCTGTATCTGTAATTGCACTATCCTCCAAAAAAATAAAATGACTAATACTCTTCTGGAGGACTCGCCCATATGGGCAACCGGTGGCGGGTATAAATAAACGCAAATACACACACACACACACACACACACACACGCACACGCACACGCACACACTCACACACACACAAGTAAGTGCATTAAAAAAGATGTGACCGTGTTAAACGGTTGTTTGCAATATAACCACCGTCTAACGTCAACCGTTACCAAAGAGCCATATATATCCTGCCCGACAGTAATAATATAAACGGTCATCATCTTTCATTCTCATTCTCACGCAAAACAGGGCAACATGTGTCCACAAGAACATCTAGACTAGTATTCAAAGAATGCGAATTTATTAATCAACGTAGTCCTTTGATTAAAGTCTGCAGAAATAAATGCCAATTCAAAACATCAATAAAAGCATTGGAGTATTATTTCAAATGTTGATGGTGATATATATGGACGGCAATAAGAACACACACAAGGGCGAAAACGGGATTTTCAAAATTTCATCGAGATAACGAAAAAATCGAGAAAAGCGATTTTGATATAACGAAAATTCGAGAAAAACGATGTCGACATAACGAAAATTCGAGAAATGAGATGTCGACATTACGATAGTTGACTGTATAGCAATCCAGTTATGAACATAACAGAGATAAAATTGTTGCAGTGATATAGAAATGTATTTGGTGTACACGTTGCCATACAAAAAAGTGCTATTTTTCTTCAAACATTCATTTACATTCACTCATTTAAATTAAAT